AGTAGACTAAAAGCTTTAGGAATCCAAAGTACAACATATAATAAGTACCCTGTATCAAGATTGATGCAAAACAAGTGACATTTGACCTTTTTAGAGAGGTTTAGCCAAAACCACCCCACCTCTGAGGTGATTTGGGTGAAAATGTTTTTTTTTCTATATCTCTGGCCGCCCTTGCTCAATTTTGATGGTTGACACACCTTTCTGACCGTTAGAGCCAATAGAATCGAAGGGGGAGGCTCCCTCTCACACACATGGTAAAAAAAAAAGGTTGGGGCTTCGCGCATGCAGTTTTGCATCAGAGCGAGCCTGTACTCTAGCTCTGACATCTGGAAACGGAAAAGCAGTTTTATTGCTTATGGATTATCAGAAATAATTTCAAAGAGGGCACAGATACATTGGATTAACCTATGGATTAACTGCAGCATCGTTTTTTTATCGTTTTAATGCCATTGAAGACCAGTTTTGACCAAGGTAAGCCATGTTAGCGTTTCTAGCTACTTAGCTCCACATGTTATGATGTACGCTTTCGTTTATAGCGTCGCAAATGTTTATCACTGAGTGTTGAGGTTTGGCACCACTAGATTCAGTGTCTCCAGGCCACCAAAAACGAGTGGTTGGCTGTGCATCTAGGATAAGTAATAAGGGAGTTATTGTGAGTTTAAGTGCCGTTTTAGGTTACGTTTTTTCGCTCGTGGCTAATTCAGAGGCTGAGTGTTAGCATTGTGGGGTTTTTTTGGAGAAAAAAAATAAAAAAGATCAGTTAGCTGAGTTTCTTCCCGTTACATGGATATAAAACATTCATAGTTTATTAAATATTAAGATCCCTTAGACGTTGTTTCCTGCAAATTACGCGTTTATCCGCCCGGTACCGGGCGGATGGTGCGTAACAGGTTAAATCAATAAAAACATTTTCTAAATCCATAAAAGCATTTCAATTAATATTGGGAGTCATGTCGTTACTTTGTTGAGAATGTGGCCATGTAATAAGCGGGATAATTTGCAGCGACTTGGTCATTATGGGGAAAAATAACACCCAGGGATCAAGATCCCTCCGCTACGCGTCGGGATCCTGATCTGCCGGACAAGGCTCCATTAAAATATAAATATTTATATTGAATTACTGAGTTTAGGTACGTTAATAACGTTTTAATTAAGTTGAATACAGAATATTCATATTTGTCAGTGATTTCATGTCAATTCGGCGAACATAAACATAAATGATCGTGGTGAAGATGATGATTAAATTAGGATTAAAAATCGAGAGCCGGCTGCATTTCCTCTTGTTCGTTTTTTTCGACTAAACAACATTATTTTGTTAAATAACAACATGGTGATGTTTTGTAAATGATTACATGTCTCTTATTTAGCACAGACTATGATCCTATCCGTGACATATGGATCTTAACAAAGATCCGCTATACAGTAGTACCAGACATACTGGTATCTGTATCAAAGTTGATTTCACATGAGCTCCAGTGTGGAACCCTACTGCACCCCCTGGTGGATCAATGATCCATTGCAGCTGGCTTCACAATAATTACATTTATTTATCACGGGGGCGGTCTCAAGTCAGACTGGAGGCAGTCTCTTGATCACGGGCAAATCACGGCCCGTTCACGGGCCGTTCTCGGGCCGACCACGGGCCGACCACGGGCCGACCACGGGCCGACCACGACCCTCGCGTTTCAAACTGCCCTAAATTAGCTGCTACATCTGTACTAACCGAGTCTTTTTCAAGAATGAGTTACACTGATCAATTGGAGTTAATTACCAAAGGGCGACCAACACCACAGCTTAATTTAGTTCAAAAAACCAAACGTTCAAGAGGCATTTTAATTTCGGCAATTACGCCAGATACAACTGGATGACCGGATCAACCATGGAACAAAAGCTGTACTGCTGGGATTGCTTGCTTTTTGGCGCGGACAGTGGGCCAAAGATGGATATTCTGATCTAGGAAGTTTATCCAAATCAGCACATCGCCATCAGAATGCTTCAGGTCACCTCAGAGCTACTATTCACCTTAAAACATTTGGGGACACCAGGATAGAGCTCCAGCTGGATGAGCAACAACGCCGGGGTGTCATCATTCATAATGAAAAGGTGAAGAGGAACAGAGGAATTTTGAAACGCCTCATAAATTGTGTGGTCTACTTAGGCAAGCAGGAGTTGCCGTTCCGAGGTCACGATGAGAGTGTAACTTCATCAAACGAGGGGAATTACATAGAGTTGCTGGATTTAGTGGCAGAATATGACAGCGACCTGCACACACACCTCGCCACATCAACAGTCTTTACCGGCACGTCTTCAAGGATTCAGAATGACCTGATCAGCGCTGTCGCTAGTGTAATGACGGATAGCATGAAAGAGGAGCTGAGGAAGGCACCTTTTGTTGCCGTCATGTTGGATGAAACAACAGACATTAGCAACGTGGCACAGATGTCATATGTACTTCGATATGTCACTGAAGATGGGATAAAAGAGCGTTTCTTCAAGTACGAAGATGTGACAGAGGACAAACGAGCAGAGGCCATAGCTACACGGCTGCTGGAGTTCCTGAGGGAGAGTGGCTGTATTGACAAAGTGGTCGCGCAGTGCTACGATGGAGCAGCTGTTATGGCCTCTGGATTGAATAGGGTGCAAGCGAAAGTTAAGGAAACAATTCCACAGGCCCTTTTCATTCACTGCTATGCTCACATCTTAAATCTCGAAACTCAAAACATGAAGGTAAAGAACTATGCTAGTATTACATTAAATGAAAAGCTAATCTTAGTGTTTACTGGAGGTCTATAAGTAGTTTTTTCTAAACTAAGCATGACTCTGTTGCTGCCCATTATGGACACAAGCAATTTTCACCCATTTATTAATTATATGTTTTAAATTTGATTCTTGACATTCAAGGCCTAGGGGACAGCAAGCCATCTCAGCTCATGGAGAAAATGCTGAATCTGCTAGGAGGGGAAGACCCCCGGATTTTGTTTATGGAGGCTTTCCTGCGCCACTTGCCAGGTTCAGACGGCGCTAGCCAACACGTCCATTACGGAGCCCCGTGCCTTGGCTGAAGAGGCTGACCGTTTTTTCCTGGCTACCCAGCAGTCCGGTGCAGAGGCGCTAGCTGTGGCGCTCAGTTCCCCCTCACCAGTTATGAAGGCTTGGGGGGGGCAGGCCGCGACGGTGCCAAGCCGGCGTGGGGACACAGGAGAGTGTTTTTACCACGTGCGGTTCGGGGCCAAGGCGAAGAAGTGCATCGCTCCCTGCAGTTACAAACCTCCGGGAAACGGAGGAGCCGGTGCTCGGTAGTGGCCCTGAGCGTTGGCGGCACGAGCAGGCTTCTCTTCGTCAGTGACAGAGTCTCAGGAAGCTTGTTTCTGTGTGACACGGGCGCTCAATGGAGTGTGGTTGCTGCGTCGAGGGAAGACCGTGAATTTACGGCGTTTGTCAACCACAAGCCGCTCACGTTCGCCATGTCAAAAGTGGCTGAGCCTTGGTCTGCACGTCAGCAGCGGCAGCTGTCTTACATCTCGGAGTTCACCACAGACATTAAGCACGTGGCTGGCAAATCGAACCTGGTTGCAGATTGCCTCTCCAGGGTCGTCATCGGGGCCGTCCAGTTGGGCCTGGACTATACCCGCATGGCGACGGACCAGGTCACGGACTCCGGCGTTCAGGCCCTGAAGGAGGATGGCTTGGGGCTGCGCTTGGAAGGTAATTGGGTCGACAAGCTGCCTTGGGTGATGCTGGGCCTGAGGACCGCGCCTAAGGAGGATCTGCAGTGCTCCACGGCTGAGATGGTCTACGGGCAGCCGTTGAGGGTTCCGGGGGATTTCCTCCCCAACGCATCGGTTCCCTGGTCGGCGACGGCCCCGCTGAGGCCTTTGCTCCGATCCCCACTGCTCGGCACGGAACTCAGGTGTCCCGGGTTCCCGTGGAGCTCCGCTCGGCAGGGCACGTGTTCATCCGGCACGACGCGCACAGAGGCCCCCTGCAGCCCCCTTACGATGGGCCTTTCTGGGTCTTGGAACACGGGGACAAGCACTTGGTGGTCGACCTGGGTGGCAGGGCCGAGCACATCTCGGTGGACCGGGTGAAAGCTGCTCACCTGGACTTGGACCAGCCGGTGGTGCTGGCTCGACCTCCGCGACGGGGCCGCCTCCTCGGCTCCCGTTTTTCGGAGTCGGGGTGGTCGGCTTGTCGTTCCTCCCTGCCGCACAGACTTTGTGTATGAGTGAATTCTGGGGGGGCTTGTGTGGTGACATTTACGGGACATAATTCACTGATGCATATAATGTGTGTTGCAACCCGGACCCGTTAGTGAGGTTACCGGGGTTTGGTGTTATTCATGCTAGCTGGTTACACAGAGCAGCACATGTACTTACGTCCTCTTGATTTAATGAATAATAAAGTGTGGAAGTCCATTCTGAATACACCACCTCTGACTCCCGTTCATCGGCTCTACAATATTGACAATAACAACCGACCGTCGGGGCATTTGCTTGGCATTTCCGGGTATTTCTCCACTGGTTGAGCCATGTTAACAATACCGTGTAACTGTCACGTTTGAAGGGACGAAATCGTGACATCTTCACGTCTCCCAGCATGGTAAATCGTCACACGTTCACGTCTTGCCGTGATACCGGGTTGATTATTTTAGATGTGTTACTGATGTGTATGTACTCTGTAATAATGTAAATGTTGCCTTTTTGATAAACCAAAACATGCTCACTCTCCTCAGCCTCCCCTCCTCCATTTTCCTAATTCCTCACTCCATTCTCGTCATCCTCCTCTTCCTCGTACTCTCATTGTCCTTCTCCCCATCCCCCTCCTCCTATCCTCCCAGTCAAACTTCACTTCCTTTCCTTCCCTCAGCCTCACCCTCTCTCCAGCAGCACCACCTCCCCCACCTTTCTGTTGTATTCCGCGATCACGACATGCCTTTTAAATGTTAAGTGATGAGAGAGTGATTCAGAAGAGAAAGAGAGAGAGAGGGGGGGGGGAAGAGAGAGAGGGAGAGTCTTATCCCCCTCGCGAGCTGCTCGGCTGCAGAGCGCGCGGAGGACAGGATGGAGCGGATGGAGTCCATGGAGCCGATCTCTGCGCACTACACCACAGATTACCCGGAGATCCATCCTGATAGCGGGTTCGAGTCCAGAGAGAGCTGCGACATCCAGGCGAAGACCCCCCCGCCCGCCACATATGATGAGGAACTGGTGCACAAGGTAGGCTATGGGAAATATAATAATATTATATTTGATTCTTAGACTGCGTCTCCTATTATTTGTCCATGTCGTACTGGCATTTATGACGTGTGTTCAGTAGCTGCAAACTTCCTCCTGTCAGTCCTGCTCTCTCTCTTTCTGTACCATCTTCGACATGCTCTATCCCATGCACCCCCACTGGACCTCATTATCACTGAGACTGATTATTTTAGTGTTATTTAAATGTACTCTGTGTTATATAATACCCACTTCCATTTTGAAATGTGCAATTAGATGGAGTAAGAGTGACTGCAGTAGAGGGATGAAAACAACAACAACAATAATAATAATAAGCGTGTGTGTGTCCACAGGCACGTCTCAGCCTAGATTTAGCTGCTTACTAAGGATCACTTTTGCCCTTTAATTCTTGTTTTTTTGGTCCGGTTTTATGTAAAATAGCAGCTTAAAGACAGTTACATCTGAAACCATATGAATCATATAAATGTTGTTAGTAGGCAAGACACTTCACCCCAAAATTGCTCCTGTGGGGATTGTCCACAGTATTGAGTATGTAAGTCGCTTTGGATAAAAGCGTCTAACAAGTAACATGATATTATGTTTTATATTATTCTAAAGACTTTTCATGTGTCTGACACACTTTTCAGGTGTTGACAATAACCATAAAAACAATCTGCTATAACGTCATCATAGTCTTTCTTAAAAAGAAGGTTTTTGTTCCTTTATTTGCTGTGAATTACAATAACTGAGAACTGAGATTGCCCAAATGGTTTGTAATGTAACCATGCTCTCTGAACAGCAGCATTTAATAGCTCTAGCAACTGTGTGTGTCTGTTTGAGTGTGTGTTTAAGACTTTTATTGTGAGGGAGCACATTATCGCAAGACAAGCTGTCGTTTCAAAAATCTAAAACCATCCTTCCAGATGAGTCTGTCTTTCTGTCTCCCCGAGGAACCTCCTGTCTGTGTTCTCTTTTTCAATCTCCCTTCAACCCCTTTTTGAAAAAGTGATCCAGATCTCGGGCTGAGGAGCTCCGAGGAACCTCCCCGGTGCCATGTTACTACACAGTAAAATCTGGAGTGTTAATTTAACACTCTGTGATAAGGACCATATGTTCACTGGCTCAGTGTTAAAAATTGACTCTTTAAGTGTTAAATTAACACTTAAAGAGTACCCAGGGAATTCTACATTTCACATTTAATACCTGGATCACCTCTAAAGAAGTTAATGAAGCTTCTTGTTAAGAACATCTGGGCTCAAACAGAAAGAAAGGAAACTCCCTGCATATAAAACCATCTTCTCTCTCACACCACTAACATGCACAATAAGTCCGTCATCCACATCCTCCATGTCTCCTTCCAGAACATCTGCGTCACTGTATTGCCTCCTGCCTTAAGAGAGAGGCCCACTTCCCAACTCTCCTCTGTTACCACGGAAACAGCATCATACCCCCGCACCACAAACACACTCATCATCATCTCAAATGCCTGTTTAGTGAGGTGGTTTGTCTCCTATGTGCTCACACACATGCAGCATTATGTGCTCTCAGTGATGGAAACATGAGATGAAATATTATTTCTGTTGGTTTGAAGTATGCTCTACCTGTGAGCCCTTTGTTGAACTTTTCTGATAGGTATTGGGTTCCGTTTTTTGTTTGTAATATTTTATTTATAATGTTCAGGTTTATGTAACAATTAAACATAAAAAAACAAAACATGTAGCATAAAAATGCAAAGCATCCCCCCTCCCCCCAAATAACAAAACAAAAGACAAACAAAAGTCAGTGCGTAAATCAAAACACAACGAGATACCACACATACACAGTGCTACTGTATATCCAGAGGCCTGTTGGTTAATCAGATGATATACCTTTTCTAAGACTATATGTGATCTTTTCAAGAGGAATACAACTGTTCATTTCTAAAGACCATCTATCAATGAGGAGAGGAGAGTCAGATGTCCATGTTAGTGTTATGCATTTCCTAGCCACACATAAAGCCATTTCCATAAATTTAATTTGGGATTTAGTTGAAGATCTATTGAGACTTGTGAAATCGCCCAGTAAGCAAAGCTCAGGATCTAAAGGGAAGGTAGATCCTGTGATCTTGGTTAAGGTGTCACAAAAATCGTACCAAAAGGACCTCACTTTTGTGCAAAGCCAGGTACAGTGTAGGAAGGAGCCAACCTCAATACCACACCTGAAGCACATCTCTGACAGCTCGGGCTTGGATATATGTAGTTTCTGTGGGGTGAGGTACAGTTGATGGAGGAAATGATAGTGAACCAGTCTGTACCTGGCATTAATAGTAGCTGACAAACTGTCTTTACATAAATCTGACCAGAGCTGTTCATCAATTGCTGCATGCAGATCTGACTCCCATCTCGCTCTAGATTTGTGTAAACCTGGCTTTGGGCCCTCATTCAGCAGTAAAGAGTACATTTTAGAAATACCTTTGTATACATTTCCCTCATGAAGCAGTTTCTCCACATCAGTCAACACAGGTAACGTCATCCCAGGGCCCAGGTTGGCTCTAAGAAAGGATCTTAATTGAAGATAACAGAAGAAGGTCTTGTTGGACAAGTCATATTTCCTCTTTAATATTTCAAAGGACATGAGGAGTCTTTTTTCGTAGCAATCTTCCAAATGTTGGATCCCCTTGTGATGCCAAGTTTCCAGAATCTTGTTATTGAGAGTCCTGGGTATGAGTTCATTTTGTCTCAGAGGTGACTTTGGTGACAGTCCAACTTTCAGTCCCAGACTTCTATGAGTCTCACACCACATTTTAATCAAATGCCTTAAAATAGGGTTGTCTGTCTTGTTGGATACAATCCTGGGGTTCCATTTATAAATAAAATCGCTGAACACTTTTTCTTTCAGGGGGTGCAATCTAATTTGTATCCAGGATGGGGCACCGTCGCCCTCAAAAAAGGCTGAAACAAATCACATTTGAGCCGCCAAATAATACTTTTTAAAACATGGTAATCGAAGGCCCCCTGATCTGTAATCCCACGTTAATTTCTACATAGATACCCTGGCCACCTTACAGTTCCATATAAACTGTCTAACATGTTTATTGAGGGTTTTAAAGGCAGTTAAATGGGTAAGGACCGGAAAAGATACTGTAGCCTTGGTAGTATATTCATTTTCACACAGTTAACTCTGCCAATTAGAGTAATGGGTAAACTCATCCACCTTTGTAGATCACTTTCAATTCTACTGAGCAATGGGAGGTAGTTAAGTTTGTATATATTTTTAAGGTCATTATCTATAGCTATCCCAATATATTTTATATTGTTAACCGACTTAAATGGGCTTGTACGTTGATACTCAGTGTAATCAAAGTTAGTTAGTGGATTGATTTAACTTTTCCCTTGGTTTACCTTATATCCTGAGATAACACCATAAGCATTTAGCAGAGTCTGTAATTTGGTGAGGGAGTTACCAGGGTCTGTCAAGTACAAAAGTACATCATCTGCCAGGAGATTAATTGTATGATTTGTCTGATCTACTCTAAAACCCTTTATATCAGGATCCTGTCAGCTAGGGGCTCAATAGCCAATACAAAAAGCCCTGGAGACAGAGGGCAGCCCTGTCGGCTTGATCTACTCAGGGGAAACGCAGTAGAGATCTGACCATTAGTAGTAATTTTGGCCCAGGGTTCATGATAAAGAGTTTGGTCAGATAAAAACTGACCAAACCCAAACTTGGCCAAGACTTTAAATAAATATGGAAGGTCGAAGGCCTATTCAGCGTCTAAAGCTACAGCTATACTGGGCTCAGTCTTTGACTTTGTTAGGTGGATAATATTAAAGAGCCTACATAAGTTATCAGCTGATGAACGTTTATAAATAAAACCACTCTGGTCCGGATTAATTAATTGTGGCAAACATTGGCCAAGCCTGTTAGCCAGGGCCTTAGATATTAATGTATATTTCGAATTCAATAATGACATAGGTCGAAATGAAGAGCACTTTAATGGATCTTTATTTTGTTTGTGGATCACAGTGATTATGGCAGTAGAGAATAATTCGGGCAGAGTTTGAGTTTTTGATGCTAAGTTAATTACATCCATGATGAGTGGGATGAGTAAATCCTTAAATTCTCTGTAAAATTCTGGTGGGAAACCATCTTCCCCTGGCGATTTGATTGCAATGAGCCCAAAGCCTTTTCAATTTCTTTCTGAGTGTAGGGAAGATCAAGTTTATTTTGGTCTTCCTGGCCAAGCTTTGGCAAGTCAATAGTGGACAGGAATTCATCAATTTTAGTCAGATCTTCTGGTGATTCCGATGCATATAAATTTGCATAAAATTGTTTAAATGTGTCATTAATTTCTACCGGGTTATTATTGAACCCGCTTCAGTTTGAATTGCGTTAATTGTTCTTGAGCTTTCCTCTGTTCTCAGTTGCCAGGACAGAATTGTATGTGCCTTCTCTCCCAATTCATAATACCTTTGTTTAGTTCTTAAAATGGCTTTTTAAATGTTATAAGTTTGTAGCGTATTGTATTTGAGCTTCATGTTTAACAACGATTGGTATAATACCTCGGACCCAGATTGTTGAAACTCCTTTTCCAATTTCAAAATATCTGTTTCCAGTTTTTCTATTTCTGCCATATATTTCTTTTTAATACCTTTTGTACAAGAGATTATTTGTCCCCTTAAATAACCTTTAAGTGTGTCCCATAGTATAAAACTATTGGGGGAGGAAGGACAGTTAATCTCACAGAATAGCTTTATCTGGTCCCCAGTGGCGGCGCCAGAGTATTTTTGTTGGGTAATCTATGGTAGGGCTAACCCATACAGTGGTGGGGCTCAAGTCAGTATTTGCAATGTAATTACATACACGCTATATCGCCCCCCCCCCCCCCCCCACATTTGTCTTGTGGTAAATAAAAAGACCTGGAGCCAATCCTGCAATTTCCCCACAGGTGAAAGAGTTGACATGCTGAAAACCCAACCCCTGCAGGGGGGTCTGGGGGGATTCTCCCCCAGGAGATTTTTTGA